TTCTTTTTGCTTATGTGGTGCTGAGGAATCGAACCCAGGGCCTCATGCATGCAAGGCAAGCGCTCTACCACTGAGCCACCTTCCCAGCCCCATTTTTCCTAGTTTGGGAACCAGTAAGAAGTGGCACAGGAGCCAGACTATGGTTTCTCAAGACCCCTAGTTCTGTGGGGTGGGACGTGGTAATGATGCTGATGGGGGTGGGATGAATGAGAATGGGAAGAGGACCTTTTAATGGGCTCAGAAATGGGGAGGAGACAGGACACAGATGGCTCTTGAATCATCATATTTTCAAAGCAAAAGTCGGGGCGGGGGGGGGGCGAGGGAGGTGTTTATAAACCTAGCTAACTAGGAGGCCAAGATCTGGGAATTGTAGTTTGAAGCCAGCCTGGACAGAATAGCCCAAAGGATTCTATATCTAAAATAAACAGCAAAACATTCTGAATGGAAGTGTGGCTCAAGTGATAGAGTGCCAGCCATGAGCAAGAAAGCTGAGGGAGTTCAAAGTTCTGAAGTCAAGCTCCAGCATTGGCACGAGGCGGGTGGGCAAAGCCAAGATTGTTGCCCCTGCTGGGTTGGTGGTTCATGCCTACAATTCTAGCTACTCAGAAGGGTGAGATCTGAGGACCATGATTGGAAGCCAGCTGGGGCTGGAAAGTCTGTGAGACTCTTATCTCCAATTAACCACCAGAAAATGGAAGTGGCACTGTGGCTCAAAATGGTAGAGCACTAGCCTTGGACTAAAAAGCTCAGGGACAGTGCCCAGGCCCTGGGTTCAATCCCCAGGACCACTCCCTCCCCCGGCCTTTGCTTCATGTTGTAGAGTACTGCAGTAAAATGCCTGAGCAAGAAGTCCCCTAAATTCTTTCTGGGCCCTAATGCTCCAAAAAGGGCTTCGAGAGACAGGGCCCTAAATGCCCTGTGAACATCGCCTGTGGGCGTCAGCTTTGTGACAGACCCTGTAACTGCCTTGGGAGCTCTATTTACTGGGTGTCCCAGGGTCCCACTCTCTCCTTCTGCTGATCACTGACCTGAGTGTGTGCGGAGGTGGCCAGTGAGGGCATCCCGCCGGCGGCAGGCATAGTTGCAGAAGGGACATTTGAAGGGCTTTTCCCCAGAGTGCAGCTTGATGTGGCGCAGCAGGTTCCCCTTCTGGGTGAAGGAAGCGCCACACTGGTTGCAGTGGAAGGGCCTCTCACCTGCAAGTGGAAGCACAGGTCCTAGAGGACTGGGTGTGAGGAGCAGGGACAGCTGGACCTAGCTCCAGCTGGGGGGAAGTTCTCTGAACACATTGTGGAGGAATGTGGCACACACATAGGAATGAATCCTGAGGTACAGGTGTCTAACCTACCTTTGTTTTTTTTTTTTGTCAGCAAGAAAATATTTGGGCCGTGTGCCCATGGCTCACACCTATAATCCTAGCTACTCAGGTGGCTGAGATCTGAGGACTGAGGTTCAAAGCCAGCCCGGGGAGGAAAGTCTGTAAGACTCTTACCTCCAATAAACCACTCAGAAAACCAGAGTGGTGCTGTGGCTCAAGTGGTAGAGTGCTAAGCCTTGAGCTGAAGAGCTCAGGGATAGCGCCCAGGCCCAGAGTTCAAGACCCATGAATGGCCAAATAAAAAAAAATTCGGGGGGGGGATGATACCCTTCCATATATATATATATTTTTTTTTTGTCGGTCGTGGGGCTTG